CTTCGTCTTCAGAAACGCATCGCAAGTGAGGCCCAACCAGAGATTTTTTGAACATGATCCCGTCGACCTCGAAGTACTTGCTTAGATATCGAGCAACCCTTTCTGCCTCCTTCTTATCTCCCATGGGTACTCGACCCTGCAGGAGTTCATGAATTGACTTTCTCCAGTCGTCCTTTTCCTCGACTTCCATCGTTTCGCCCAACACGCTTCCTTCTAAGTGCATGGTGGTGATAGAACTTCCCATCTTCCCCTTATTCGAGCTCGCAATTCTCGCGAGCCAATCTGCTCGTTTGTTTTTCTTTCGAGGGATTTGCGTTAGTTTAAACTTCTCCAGGCCCTGCACAAGGCTTTGGATTAGACTCACATGTTTCCTCCGATGGACAAACAAATATAGTAGGCTTAAAACCAAGTCCCGCTTTTTTATGATTATGTTCAAGAGCATCTAGGACATCCAATTGGCTCTTACCGGTGTTAAGTCGTTGGAAGGTCTGACGAGAGTATTCAAGTTCCTCTCTTACCTTCACCAACTTTTGGTCATGACCAGAGATGGTCACTTCCAATTGGGTTACGGTAGACTTTAAAGCATCATTCTCCTCTTCCAACTTTTTAGCCTCTGACTTCATCCTCTTATTTTCATCCTTTAACTTATTGTTCTCCTTCTCGAGCTTATTTGCATCCCAGACGGCATCTATATAGTGTTTATGAAGTTCCTCGTACACCTTTTCATGATCTTCAAACCTATAATATTGAAAGCTGCTCGGAAGACCTAAATCTCTGCCTGAAGCATCACAAAACAAGGAGTTAAAGCAAAAAATTCAGAATTTTCATTTTTATACCTGCCAGGTGTCTTGACACTTTGGGCGACATTTCGTCCAACACCTGCTGAACTGATTTTTCTTGGCCTCGATTCGTCCACGGTTATCTTAAAATCAGTTCTGGAGGTAGTTTTAGGTTCATACTCAGCCGAGGATTCCTCCGATGCATCAAATTCATCATATTTCATCTTTTCGTTGGATAACTTTGGCCTGTTCGGAACAAGTGTGGGTAACGGCAACCCCGTAAACTTCATACGTACCTAAAAAATCAGAATCACACTTATTAAATTAAGTGACCTGCTCTGATACCACTTGTTAGAATTTTAGGTACGCAACAATCCAGATTTTGACACAAAGATCAGAAATTAAAATAAGCAATAAAAAATAAATAACACGAACGATTCAAAATTTAGCCTACAAGTAAAATCACTTGTAGACTAAGGCAACATGCCAAAAATTTACTAGAATAAATCAACTTCAACGTTTTCCTACTAATTCCAAAACAATCCCAACACTTCTAGTGAATAACAAAAAGAACAACATGCGAGTTTGACAATCAAATGAACTCATATAATATCATGAACAAAAGAGAAGGTAGAGAAATATTAAGTTGAATTTCTTGTGTGTGCTGAAGCTTCCAAAGCCGAATTGATAGAAATAATTTGCTGCTTCTCCTTTGCTCGTGAATATGATCTTCAAAAGCCACAAAAAAAAAAAATAGTGCTACTACAAAATCAATTTCTGCTCCTTTTTAACCTAATGCCACGTTGTTGTTCTGACTTTTTTCTTTTTCCACACTGCTGAGGAAAATCAAATCCTCACAAATCTTTTTTCTTGTGAAATCCTCACAAATCTTTTTTCTTGAGGAGATCACCTACTAAGATAAAGAAACTACATATCAAATAATATTATACCATAAAAAAACTATATATATATGTATATATATATATATTTATACACAAAAATAAATCAGAAAAGCAAAATCAAAATTAAAATAAAAATATGATTTAACAAAAAATATGTTCAATTGCTATAGGAACATAGTAGTATAGAATTAGTTTCTTTAATTCATATTACTTGCTTTCTGCTCACTTCAATACACACGCATTACATCCATATTTATTATACTTGTAAGACATTATTAATTTCTTAGCTACTAAAAATATTATTACTAACTTCTAACTAATTTCATTAAATGAGCATTAATGTTTTAACACACCACTTCTGCTATATTAGCTAATGATTGCGCGTAAATATGCCTATATGATTTTACACCATGATTTTGTCAATATTAGTTCTCGATTTCTTTTTCTTTGGTGCGAAGAAATTTAGGCAATGAAACTACTTCGTTTCGTGAGCTTCGAATTAAACATGCACTAGTACTAATACCCATGTACAACATGAGTGTTGAGTAAATGATATATGTGTAAAGTTATTTATGTCTAATACCAAACCTAACTCCAAAGCAAAAAATAATAATAAAACAACATCACGAAGCATAGATTTTTGCCATGTCAACATCCGAAGAATGAGAATCCGCCACATAGGCTCAACACGTTTTGAATTAATATATAGGGAGGGATTAGAATTAGCTCAAAATAAAAAGAAAACATCAATGTAGAAGAATTTTCCCTAATCATGCATACAGCAGTTTTCTTGTTATTTCATTTAGATATATGGCAAATTATGTACTCTGTGTTGGAAATATTATGATTGTAAAAGGCGAATTAATAACGAGTTTCAACACATATACGTATTAAGAATTTGAAAATAGAAACCACAAACATCAACCACATGAACGTGAGATGAAACCAGATTTCTATTAGTAAATAAATAAATCTATTATAAAATAATAACTTAACTTACAGTTCTATATTATCATAGAACATGAATAGCCGAATCACAGAAAATCTGTTTGCCTTGAAGAAACAGACGCCCCGATACTGTGCAACGAGTACTACGCCTTTTCTCCCAGGATAAGACGGCTCAAAGTGTGAAGACTGCACTATCTAACACACTCACCTCGATCAGAAGCTCAGTCGCCAAGAACCCTTAATTATTCTTAGACTTGTAGAGGATGAAAGAGATTATATATAAAGTGACCTTTTCTTTTCTTGTTTTTGGTGTCTCTTCCCTTAAGCATGCATGCACTCTTTTTATAGTGCTCATAAGACATGCTATCATTCAATGAAGAGGTGTTCCATTAATGCCTTCATTAAGGCAAAAGTAATGAACAAGTAATGAAACTTTGAGTTTCATTCTCACATCTCAAAACCGAACACGGTTAAGCTTTCATCACATTGAATTTGAACATTACATTTGTAACATTAAACACATCCTTTTATCTAAGGATTCCCACAATTAATTTCTCTTTCTACATGTAAGTCATATTAAAACAATCCCCCACAAATCCTTAGATAATAATTATCAGGGTCATCATAAGTTGCTTTCAGTAATGGTACCTTCCGGTTTGAACCACTACCTAAGTTATCCAACTTCTGTCATCATCGAAATGAATGGATCTAAGCCTTGAATTCATGTCGTGAGTGTAATGACGTTCATTAGTAACAACAACTTATAAGCTATGTTCTGATCTTTAGGGTTGACACATTAGGCCATATGTCACGATCCTGTTCATGAGTATCTTCAAGGAATAACCCTTTCCCCTAGTTGCGGCCAAAAAACTATACTCATTTAGTTGGGCATCTCCAAAGATGCACTGCTTACATCTTGTTTAGAAAACTCGACCCCATTAAGAGATAAACTCTTACTATACTTGCAGTTAACAGCACCTTCCAGGTATGCTAGGGAAAGAACACGTCATACTTTATATATAAAGTATTAGTCTTATAACTTTAGGTGCACAATGATACATTCAACAGCTTGTTTATAAACCTTCCTTGTGGGATCTCCACTTGGAAGGTTGGGTTGCTACTGCAGATGCATCTCATATGGGTTATTCAGTCCCATCCCTAACCTGGATTTTTGCACTAAGGATAGATCAAGTCCTTTAGTCAAAGGATCAGCTAAGTTGTCTTTAGAATGAACAAAGTCAACGGCCATAACCTTATCAGACACTAATTCCCTTATAGACTTTAGTCTAACTTTGATGTGTCTCTTTGTTTTCTGATTGAACTTTTGACTTCTTATTTTTGCAATTGTGGTTTGACTATCACAGTGCACTGGTATCGGAGGTAAAGGCTTGCTCACAATGGGTAGTTGCAACAACAACCCATACAACCATTCTGACTCCATTCCAGTCGTGTCCAATGCACATAACTCAGCCTCAAAAGTAGACCGTGTTACCAAAGTCTGTTTAGTAGACTTCCAGGAGACAGCACCCCCACCCAAGGTAAATACATACCATGTACATCCGTTTGTTCTGGAATTTTTAGCTATCCAGCTAGCATCACTATATCCCTCAAGTACACCAGGGAATTTGCTATAATGTATAGCCAATGATATTGTGCCTTTAAGATACCGAAGTACCCTATCCAAGGCTTCCCAGTGAGTTCTGTTAGGACAACTTGTATATCTAGCTAACTTTGACGCAGAAAACGAAATATCTGGTCTCGTACCATTAGCTAAATATTGCAAGCTTCCAATAATTTGAGAATATCTCAATTGAGCTGCAGAAACACCACTTTCATTTTTGAAAAGAGCCACAGATGGATCATATGGAGTTTTAGCAATTCTACAATCATTATAACCATATTTCTCAATTATCTTCTCAACATAATGAGATTGAGAAATTGCTATACCTTTAGTTGAACGAATCAACTTAAGGCCAAGAATTACATTTGCCTTTCCCATATCCTTCATTTCAAATTTACTCTTTAGAAAAAAATTAGTCTCTTCAATTATTTCATAAGCAGATCCTATTAACAGAACATCATCTACATATAGACATAAGATTATACAATTATCACCTTTAACCTTATAGTATATGCACTTATCATTATCCTTTATCACAAAGCCGAATGATAAGATAGTTTTATCAAACTTTTCATGCCATTGTTTAGGTGCTTGTTTCAAACCATAAAGAGATTTAACAAGCTTACAAACTTTATGCTCGTTACCGGGAGCTATAAACCCCTCAGGCTGATCCATGTATATTTCTTCATCAAGATCTCCATGTGAAAAGGCAGTTTTTACATCCATATGATGAATATAGAGGTTATACACAGAAGCTAAGGCTATGAGCACACGGATTGTAGTTAAACGAGCAACAGGTGAATAGGTATAAAAGTAATCTATTCCCTCTTTCTGCTTAAAACCTTTGGCAACCAATCTGGCTTTAAACTTATCAATGGTTCCATCAGAATTAAGTTTCTTTTTGAAAATCCATTTACAACCAATTGTATTACACCCCGGAGGTAGTTCAACTAACTCCCATGTCCCATTAGAGACAATAGAGTCAATCTCACTTTTGATAGCTACTTTCCAATGCTTAGCTTCTGGTGAAGTCATAGCATCTTTGAAAGTTATTGGCTCGTCCTCAATATTGTAAGTGATAAAATCACTTCCAAAATCCTTAACGATCCTAGCTCGTTTACTCCGTCTAGGTTCATCCAATTCTGTTTGTAAAGAATCTAAACCACTTAGATTACCCCCCACATTTGTCATCTTTTCCACATGTTCAGGAATTGATGATGATGTAAGGGCCGCATCCAAGACATCATTTTGGGGTATTCCCGTTTTCATAGGAAAAACATCCTCAAAGAATGTAGCATCACGAAGTTCAACAATTGTGTTTACATCTATGCCAACAATTTCTGATTTAACAACCAAAAATCTAAGAGCATAGCTAGTTTCCACATATCCCAAAAAGACCGCATCAATAGTTTTAGGTCCTAGCTTTTTCCTTTTGTGCTCAGGTACTAGAACTTTTGCAAGACAGCCCCACACACGAAAGTACTTTAAGCTAGGTTTTCTACCTTTCCATGATTCAAATGGAGTTATTTCATTGTGTTTCAGAGGGACTCTATTCAGAATATGGCAAGCCGTATTCAAAGCCTCTCCCCACATGTATTTAGGCAATCCAGAATTCAACAAAAAACTATTGATCATATCTTTAAATGTTCTATTTTTCTGTTCTGCAACCCCATTAGACTGAGGAGAATATGGAGGAGTTTCTTCATGAATTATGCCAAAATTTCGACAATATTCACCAAAGGGGTTAGATTCATATTCTCCACCTCTGTCTGATCTTAACCTTTTAAGTTTCTTACCAGTTTGTGTTTCGGCTTCATTTTTTAAAATAATAAATTTCTCAAGTGCTTCATCTTTATGTTTAATTAGATAAACATAACAATACTTACTATAATCATCTATAAAAGTGATAACGTATCGTTTAAGGTCTTTAGTAACAATTCCATTGAACTCACAAATATCAGTGTGTACTAAATCAAGTAATTCAGAATGCCTTTCTATCGAGTGATAAGGCTTTCTTACTTGCTTTGCTTCAACACATACTTGACATTTGTTATTCCGTTCAACATCGTGTTTTGGAATTAAATTAAGATTCATCATTCTCTTAATAGAATCATAATTTAAATGACCCAAACGCTTATGCCATACAGAAGAACTTTCTGTAACATTCATAACAATAGAATCTACAAAATCAAATTTATTACCAGAACCAGCATGATCAACACGAATTTTAAATAGACCATCAGACAAATAGCCCTTGCCAATAAATAAATTATAATGTTGAATAACAACTTTATTCAATTTAAACGAAAGCTCATAACCTTCTTGGACTAACATAGAACCACTAATAATATTTCTTCGTATTGTTGGGACATGGTGCACCCTCTGTAGAGATAAAATGTGCCCTGAAGGAAACTTCAAGTCCACGCATCCTACCCCAAATACTTTGGCAGCACTTGAGTTTCCCATTGCTACGGATTTTCCATCAATTGGCTGATAAGACACAAAAAACAATTTATCAGCACAAATGTGCACATTTGCTCCAGTATCTATTAACCAATCAAACGGTTCATAGACATTCAAGATCTCAGGTTGTAAAGAAACAAACCCATCAATAGTTGTCTATGGAGAACTAGCATTGCTAGGTTTTCCAACAACCATATTCGCCACATGTTGTTCAGCGGGTCCAGGTTTGACCTTAGCTTTCTTCGTCGGACAATCTTTAATCCAATGTCCAACCTGTCCACAGTTCCAACATGGTTTGTTTGCTTTGGGTTTCTTATTTTTAGCATTAGCCTTGTCTTTATTGGCCATTTTCATATTTGCATGGTTCACTTTTCTTTTTCCCATTATCATATTAGCCTTAGGTTCAAATGGCATATTATGAACTTCTTTTCAATGTTCTTCTTCTATGTTGATTAATATCATTAAATCATCCAAGGTCAATCTCCCTTTTTGATGCTTCAACGACATTCCAAAACTTTCCCAAGACTTTGGAAATTTATCAATAATTGACATAACCAAAAACTTTTCAGGAAGTTTCATATCAGCATCAGTGAGGGAATGTTCCAAGTTGATCAATTCATGTGTCTGCTCAGATACAGACTTTCCTTCAGCCATATGATATTTTAAGAACTTAGAAACAGAATACTTTTCGAGACCTTGCTCTTCAGTATTATATTTCTTGTCCAACTCATCCCATAATGACTTTGCAGTGTACGAATCAAAACAATAAACATCAAAGAGCGTATTTGACAAAGCTGACAAAATAGCTCCTCGAACAATTTGATCTCTTTCGTCCCACTGAGCAGTTTCAGTTGTTTTGGGATCATTATCAGTTGGTTCAGGCCTAGCCACCTGAATTATCGTCAAAAGTCCTTTCATCGTAAGCCAAATTTTCATTCGTTGTTGCCAACGTTTGAAAAATTGCCCCGAAAATTTTTCCGGTAAGCCGGATAAATCGACTTTTGAATTCAACATAGCATTACTTGATATGGTGCCAGAACCACTTGCCATAATGATAAATTGAGAAAAAAATAGAGTAAAATAAATACGTATAACTCTTTTGAAAAAACTCATTTTAATCACAAAAATCTGTTTCTTCAAGATTGTTGGAAATATTATGATTGTAAAAGGCGAATTAATAACGAGTTTCAACACATATACGTATTAAGAATTTGAAAATAGAAACCACAAACATCAACCACAGGAACGTGAGATAAAACCAGATTTCTATTAGTAAATAAATAAATTTATTATAAAATAATAACTTAACTTACAGTTCTATATTATCATAGAACATGAATAGCCGAATCACAGAAAATCTGTTTGCCTTGAAGAAACAGACGCCCCGATACTGTGCAACGAGTACTACGCCTTTTCTCCCAGGATAAGACGGCTCAAAGTGTGAATACTGCACTATCTAACACACTCACCTCGATCAGAAGCTCAGTCATCAAGAACCCTTAATTATTCTTAGACTTGTAGAGGATGAAAGAGATTATATATAAAGTGACCTTTTCTTTTCTTCTTTTTGGTGTCTCTTCCCTTAAGCATGCATGCACTCTTTTTATAGTGCTCATAAGACATGCTATCATTCAATGAAGAGGTGTTCCATTAATGCCTTCATTAAGGCAAAAGTAATGAACAAGTAATGAAACTTTGAGTTTCATTCTCACATCTCAAAACCGAACACGATTAAGCTTTCCTCACATTGAATTTGAACATTACATTTGTAACATTAAACACATCCTTTTTGATCTAAAGATACCCACAATTAATATCTCTTTCTACATATAAGTCATATTACAACACTCTGCAGGTGAAGATAACATGTAGCTCAAAGCTGAAAATTTATGCAAAAGCACACTGCAAAATATATTAAAGTAAGGTACTATGAAAATAAGACACTCACATGATCACAATATAATATAATTATTAAAAGAATAAAGAAAATATAAAGTTTAGTTACTTTTCCATCTACAAACAATATGGCATGCACCAACGGAGAATTGCATACACGGTGTAATGTTCATCTACGCACGGTGGACACATATTAATATGTCCACTGCTTATGTGGCATGCACTCATTGGTGATGTATTTTTTTAACATATTAACATAACCATTGTGTGCATGCCACATAAGCGATGAACATATTAACATGTGTCCACCATGGGTAGGGGAGCATTATCCAGCATATACGTGAGACAAAATATGATACTGCGCCCAATAGCAGCCCCTGTCTCACTATTGAACCTATAACAGTAGGTACCACTCAACTCCAGTTATATGATAATTTTCAGATGTAAACTCAAAATGGCTTTCATTCTAGAATTACTATAGAATTTATACAGTTAAAGGTTAAGCTATAATGGTAGAAACTGCAAACTAAGGCCAAGCTAGTTGTTTGTGCATTCTTGAGACAACATGAGAGGAGTGATTTTGAAGAATTAAGAACATGTTATACGAATCGAAAACGTGATTAATTATCACCTTTCCGTAGTCAAATTATTGTTTAATTACTCAAAGATTTATTGTTTATCCGTTGCCATTTATTTTTGAATCTGACTTATTTCAGGGACGTTAGTTTATAAGATTTCCGACGTTGATTCTCTTTTATTGAAAATCCACTCCAAATCAACTTCAGGATTTGGTTTTAATGTGAATTTTAATCTTACCAAATCAACTTTGGGATTTGGCATAGGTTAGACCTTCGTCCGACCAAGTTAATGGGGTTGGTTTTATCAGTAAGCCCGCTAAATCAACTTCAAGATTTAGCAATAGGGGGACATCAGCCTCCCAGTCATCTTCAAGACTTGGATGTATCCGACTGTTTTGCATTAGCCTGCCCAGGTCATTTTGTCATTTTCTGGACTTGGAAACGTCAGGCTTCGTCAAAGTGGACTTATTTTTCGAGAGTCCGTTGGCCAAATTATTTTTTTAAGATTCGACAAAAATTTATAGTCAGCAACAACAACACTTCACAAGATTTTCGTAGAATAGTGAATTTGTACAACGCTTCGATTGCTTCATTGAAAGTACTTTTTGAGAATTACCGCATTCCAAGGGTATTGAAGAGGAGTACCACTTGGATCTTCGAGTCGGTATGTGCCATTTGATATCACGTGGATTATTTTGAAGGGTTCTTCTAACTTAGGTTGTAGTGGTCCGAGATTGGCCCCAACAATTCTCTTCAAAATGAGGTATCCGGCTCTGTAGGGACCGAGTTTGAATTTTTCATTAAAATATTTCTTGCTTCGTCTTTTGTAAGCGGCATTCTTGACCTCGGCTCTCATACGTAATTCTTCAATCATGTCATGGTTGGCTTTCAGGTTTTCCAAATTTGAGCCCTCGAAAAAATGTGTAACTGGATACGTTGGGGATTCGAGCTCAACCAGAACCATGGCTTCGGTCCCATAAGTTAAGGAAAATGGAGTTTTTCTAGTTGAGTTCCGAGGTGTTGTACGGTATGCCCACAGAACATGGGGCAACTCCTCAGGCCACGCTCATTTTGCTGAGTCAAGCCGGTCCTCAATCCATTTTTGATAATTTTGTTGACTGCTTTGACTTGCCCATAGGCTTGGGGATGATAATGTGATGAAAAGATATGTTTAATGTCATAGTCTTCACAAAATGTTCCGAATCTTCTACCTTCGAATTGTCGGCCGTTATCAGTTATGATGGAATTCGGAATTCCGAAGCGACAAACTATCGGCTTCTAGACGAAACCGATCATTTTATGTTCAATTATGGTGGCCAAGGGTTCCGCTTTCACCCATTTCGTGAAATATTCAACCTTTATGATGGCAAACCTCACATTTTCTTTTCCATTCGGGAGAGGACCGATAAGGTAAATCCCCCATTTGCCAAACGACCATGGGCTATAAACAGATTTGATTAACTCGGGATGTTGGTTAACATTAGGAGCAAATATTTGACATTTGCGACACTTTCGCACCCATTCAGCTGCATCCGACCTCAAAGTCGGCCAACAATACACTTGGCGAAGTATTTTATAAGCCAAGGCTTGTGTGCCATGATACTGCTACAAATGCCTTTCTGGATTTCTTTTAAGACACGTCGAGCTTCCTTTGTGGTTAAACATTTGAGTAATGGAGTTGAATATACTTGTTTGTATAGGACTTCATTGTCTAAGGTGAACCGAGCTGCACGAACGCGAAGGGCTTGTGCTTCTTTAGGATCGTCAGGTAAGGCCCCTGTTTGTAAGTAGGCTATTATTGGATCCATCCATGTCGGACTTCGGTCTAACGGAGTTATATCGTCATCTAGACGTCGGCAATAACAGTTGATGGTGTCGTTTGTTGGTTGACTATTGTGATTACAAGGGTCAAGGCCAAAGGTTCGGGGGGCAACTCCGGCGAAGTGAACGGCGAGAAAGGTGGGATCTTGAAAATCGCAGAGGAAGAGAAGTTTTGCCCTAATTCGATTGATGCGTGCAAAGAAGGAGAAGGAATTGATGATAAGAAGACCATCGGGCCAGAAATTGATGATTATTTGGGCCGCTCACCTTGACTAGTTATTTTATTTATTTTTATTCTAGTATTGGGCTGAATATGTTAGGTCAAGCCCAAGTTATTTAGTACCTTGCTAGGGTCCATGTAAAGGCCTTTAAATATGAAATGAGTATCTGAAAATAGCCATGTTTTGGCAGTTACAATTTTCTCATCTCAATTTCTCTCTATTCCTCCTAATTTCTCTGAATTTCCTTCCCTTTCTTCTTCACAAAGATAGCTTAATTTTCTCTGAAATTACATCTCAAAAAGTACCAAAAAAAATATAGAAAAATCACAAATCAAAAACCCATAACACAACAGTTGGTATTGAGAGCCTGCGTTCCTTGGAATATGGCTGATGGCACCAGATTCAAAGATTTGCAAGAAACCCAGAAAAAAATGGATCAAACTCTGCAGGAAACTCAAAGGAAGATAGATCAAAACCTGCAAATGGAAGCCATGAAAAGAGAAGCATCCGAAATGAAATTGCAGGAACAAATGGCACACATCAGCTCAGAAGTTAAGG